AGTGAGTTTCCTGAGTCAAAGGAAATACAGATAATGTTCACAGACAGTTTTAATTTTAATAACTATTAGCATATTGCTCTCCTAAAAGTTTTTAGGCATTCAAATTCCTGTCAGAAATATATGAGAATACTGTATTTTCCAAATTACTTTCAGCAATATATTTAGAACTTTTAAAAGTTTTTGTCATTTTGATAGACACAAATTTAGCTTGTTTTAACTTGTGCTATCTAATTTCTATTTAGTTTGAGCAACTTTTCATATTTTTGTTATCAATTTGGATTTGAGAACTCTTTTTTTTTTTTTTTTTTGAGACCGAGTCTCACTCTGTCTGCCCAGGCTGGAGTGCAGTGGCCGGATCTCAGCTCACTGCAAGCTCCGCCTCCCGGGTTTAAGCCATTCTCCTGCCTCAGCCTCCCGAGTAGCTGGGATTACAGGCCCCCGCCACCGCGCCCAGCTAGTTTTTTGTATTTTTTAGTAGAGACGGGGTTTCACCGTTTTAGCCAGGATGGTCTCGCTCTCCTGACCTCGATCCGCCCGTCTCGGCCTCCCAAAGTGCTGGGATTACAGGCTTGAGCCACCGCGCCCAGCCTGTGAACTCTTAATTACCTATGTTTTTCTGTTCATGTGAAATGGAAGCTTTCATTGTAAGTACTGCCTTCCATCCTCCAAGCATTTTTTTTTTCGAGTCTGTTATTTAAACAGCCAACTCATTTACTTTGTCCTATTTTTGACATACCCACCTTCCTTAGGGTTTCCAGTCTTAGAAAAAAAATCTCACCGGCCCCTGTGTTGTACATGTGGCTATCTAAGTATGCTCTTAAGGTTGTTTACAATTTTTTAATAGACATAAAGTTCATTTCCAATGATATTCTAAACTGGGAATTTTTCTTCCAGATGTGGGCTGTGTTGTGTTAGCACCTATCTCCCGATTTTGTTCTCTCTCACTCTTTGTTCTAAATCATGCCCACAAAAGTTTCACCTATTTTATTGGTTCTTATTTTTACTATTTTCTTTCTTACATTATTTTGTGTTCCTAAATAATTTATTTTCTCTTTCATCTTATTAAGTCTTTTTTTTTTTAATATTTGTAGTTGATTTTGGGGGGGGGTTAAAAAATATGTTAGCTGTTTCTTTTAGTAATAAGCACATTCAATGTTTTACATTTCTTTTTAACTACAGCTGAACACCATTGATTTTGATGCAAAGCATTTTTTCATCACTCTAATATCTGGGTTCTTATTGGTTTACTTTATATTTTCTCTTTGATTCAAGGATTCCTGAAAAAAAGCTTTTGTCTTATTTTCAAAATAAGGTTCTTCTGGTCACTTTCTATTCTTTCATTTTAATTTGACTATATTATAATTAGACAAAGTAAAATTGCTTTTGTTGTTGATGTCGTAGCTGTTAATTTAAAATTGAGACGCACATACTCTGGAGCCAGAGCAGCTACTTAACTCCACCATCTTTTAGCTGTGAGGTCTTGGACAGGTTACATGATGTACCTATTTTAGTTTATTCATCTATATAATAAGATAATAACAGTACCTAGCTCATGTGATAGTTTTGAGTATCAAATAAACTGATATATCCTTATAACATTTTAAATCTGGAATTAGTAAACACTGTGTTGTAAAATATAACTAAATTTATATTTCTCTAATTATTGACATTACTGATGATAGATTAACTATAGATTTTTTTTTGTTATTTTAAATAAGCAATTTGCCTTAAGAAGTGTTTGTTTTGTTGTTACACATTTGCTGAGTGCTTCCGTTCCATCCGTTTTAGTGCCTTTCTCGATGATTATAATTTCTTGCTCTTAACACGCTGTGAACCAAAAGTATCTGAGACAGATCTCAATCAATTTAGAAAGCTTATTTTGCCAAGGTTATGGATGTGCCCATGACAGCCTCAAGACGTCCTACCAACATGTGCCCAAGGTGGTTGGGGTACAGCTTGTTTTTATGCATTTCAGGGAGGGGTGAGACATCAACAAATACGTGTAAGATGTACGTTGGTCCAGTCCGGAAAGGCAGGACAATCCAAAGCAAGGGGGCTTCCAGGTCATAGGTAGATAAGAGATCAACAGTTGTATGAAGAATAAGTCTTTGAGGGCAGGCGCAGTGGTTCATGGTTGTAAACCCAGCACTTTGGGAGGCCGAGGCGAGCGGATCACGTGAGGTCAGGAGATCGAGACCAGCCTGACTAACATGGAGAAATCCCATCTCTACTAAAAACACAAAAATTGAGCTGGGCGCGGTGGCTCACGCCTGTAATCCCAGCACTTTGGGAGGCCGTAGACGGGAGGATCAGGAGGTCAGGAGATCGAGACCATCCTGGCTAACACAGTGAAACCCTGTCTATACTAAAAAATACAAAAAACTAGCCAGGCGTGGTGGCGGGGGCCTGTAGTCCCGGCTACTCGGGAGGCTGAGGCAGGAGAATGGCGTGAACCCGGGAGGCGGAGCTTGCAGTGAGCCAAGATTGCGCCACTGCTCTCCAGCCTGGGCGACAGAGCGAGACTCCGTCTCAAAAATAATAAATAAATAAATAAATAAATAAATAAATAAATAAATAAATAAATTAGCTGGGCATGGTGGCAGGTGCCTGTAATCCCAGCTACTTGGGAGACTGATGCAGGAGAATCGCTTGAACCTGGGAGGCGGAGGTTGCAGTGAGTCAAGATTGCGCTATTGCACCTCAGCCCGAGTGACAGAGCAGGACTATCTCAAAAAAAAAAAAAAAAAAAAAAAAGAGAGAGAATAGATCTTTATCTTTGATCAGCCTTTCACTGAATACACAATTTACACGTGAGAGGAGGATAGAGGAATAGTCACTTATGCCTTAGTCTGGCTCAGTAAATCTGCATTTTTAGTAAACTATTGGGCAGAGGAAGCAATCGGATAAATCAGATATGCATTTGTCTCAGGTAAGCAGAGGGATGACTTTGAGTTCTGTCCTTTGTCCCATGCCTGTGAAGATGAGCTATGAATTTATATTGCCAGGGTGAATTTCCAAAGAACTCTTTTAGGGAAATGTTCTGTTTTAGGGAAAAATCGTGAGGGAGGAATCTAGTTTTTAACTTTGTAGCTACCTTATTTGGGAATAAAATGGGAGACAGATTTGCCCAGGAGTTCCCAGCTCGCCCTTTGCCTTTGACTTAGTGATGCTGGGGGGGTCCTGAGATTTACTTTCCTTTCACAATACCATTCAGCTTCCTTTCCATCCTTTAACCTTTTCCCATCTACAATGTTTCCAGGAGAATTTCCTTGAAATCTGTAAAATACAGATTACCTCCTTACCTTATTTAAAATGCTGATGTAAATATTCACTCCTCCTTCTCCTTTAATTCTTTGGCCATTTCAACAAGTTTATGAGGTAGAGCCATGGCACGGGATGGGGGTTGTTAATTTGTGCAAAAATCCTATTTTTAAAAGACACTTAAAAAAAACCTCTTAGATCCCTAACATTTTAATGATACCTTCTCTTTATTTTTCAGTTGGAAAATGGTTGTGTTTCTCAAATTGTAAATACAAAAGTCTTCCAACTCTACCGTTCTGGATTATTCATGACATTTCACGTTGCTGTAATTGTTACAGAATTTGGAACAGGTAATGACTGTATTTTTGGACGACCTGAGGACATATGGCAACTTACTGGGAGAAGCTTGTTGAGTTAGCACTAAGTACAAATTAAATTATTCCTAATTTAATACAACTGGGAATAGTTGCAAGTGCAAAAATTATTACTGAAAAATTTACAAGATTGCTCATAGTGAGTGTTCAATAAGTATCTGTGAAAAGAATGAAAGAAGAGACCGGGCGTGGTAGCTCACACCTGTAATCCCAGCACTTTGGGAGGCCGAGGCAGGTGGATCACCTGAGGTCAGGAGTTCAAAATCAGCCTGGCCAGCGTGGTGAAACCCCATCTCTACAAAAATACAAAAACTTAGCCGGGCATGATGGCGAGTGCCTGTAATCCCAGCTACTCGGGAGGCTGAGGCAGGAGAGAATCGCTTGAACCCAGGAGGCAGAGACTGCAGTGAGCTAAGATCATGTCATTGCACTTCAGCCTTCAGCCTGGGTGACAGAACAAGACTTAGTCCAAAGAAAGAAAAGAAAAGAAAAGAAAAGAAAAGAAAAGAAAAGAAAAGAAAAGAAAAGAAAAGAAAAGAAAGAGGAAGGAAGGAAGGAAGGAAGGAAGGAAGGAAGGAAGGAAGGAAGGAAGGAAGGAAGGAAGGAAGGAAGAAAGGAAGGGGAAAGAAAAGAAAGGGAAGAAAGGAAGGAAGGAAGAAAGAAATTATTTCATTTGGAGTGGGAAAATCAGATGTAACTACTAATTATTTCTTGTTATTTAAAAAGGAATTGTGATTATGCCATTGTAAAGTGCTCTATATACGCATACTTGATCAATATCTTGATGCTGTTCACACTGGGAAAGCTGGTCACGTTTATATTGCTGTGGATGGTAACTTAGCTAGACATGTTCCACTCTGCTGTGTTCATCATTCCTTACAGGTGTGCAGATCGGTGAGGAGACTTCAGTGTTTATCACTCAATTGCTGGGAACTGTAAACTTTGAGAACATGGATACTTTCTACAGAAGAGGGATTTCTTATTTTGGAACTGTAGGTTTGACTAAAGAATACATGCTTCCATTTCATTTTCTTGGATCATAGATTGCCCTTTGAAAATTTCTGGTCACTTTTTTCCTACTTTTATAATACATTTTAAGCATTACTATGTCTGAGGTGCTAGAAAATGTCCTAGATGGAAAGAAGCAAAATAGATAACATTACAGTTGTTTCCATACTTTATATTATATATCTATGTATTTAATAGAGCATCTTTCTGTCTGTTCGAATTTAGGAAAATGACAAGGGATCACATTTATGAGTAGAAAACTATTTCTCTGTAAAAATGTAAACATTTTGTGTTTCAAGTCATATTACTTATTCTTTTCTTGTACAGCTTAAATTTTTGGGTCCTGATAATGTACCTATGGTGAACAAGTTGTTGCAACTGGAGCTGAATGATGAATTTATAGGAAATTACACTACAGATGAGAATGGCGAAGCTCAGTTTTCCATTGACACTTCAGACATATTTGACCCAGAGTTCAACCTAAAAGTAAGACATCAAAGAACGGAAGAAGACCGTTAGACATCCCACAGAGGATTTGGGTATCGGGAATGTTAAACATTAGGAATGTCTTAAAAGATAACTTGTATACAGAACATATTTTAAAGAAAATTTAAAATGTAGCTTATTTTATATAATTTGCTGGTTCACTAAATAATATATGAGAATACTTGTTCAAGACGATAAGAAGCTAAAAGTCTATTAACGATTGTTATAAATTTGCTAACAACTAATATTTTCCTCTAGGAAACAAAGAGTAGTTCATGAGGATGATTTGACTTTCTTCCTCAGATCATTTCATGCACAGATAGGGGAGATCCTATGCTTTCTCTTTATTTTCTGCTGCTTAAACAGAATTTTGCAGTTAAACAATTTGTCAGTGTTCACATGAAGCTGAAAGAAACAGAACTGAAGGACAGTTCTGTGGCTTCAGTTAAAGAGTAAAAAACACAACAATTCACCATCAGTCTAATGAAATATTTACATAATCTTTCATGGTCACGTTTTGTATACAAAGAGCGAGTGCTGTTATTATTTTGATTCCAATAACTTCACATTAAAATGTCAGCCACAAGCTGAGATTCCTCCCTACTCTGGAGAGTTGAGAAGCCTCCATTCTCAGTAACACCTGTCTTCGGATGTCATGATACCAGACCCTTCACTTTCTTTTGTCATCTCAGGCCACATATGTTCGACCTAAGAGCTGCTATCTTCCCAGCTGGTTGACGCCTCAGTACTCGGATGCCAGCTTCTTAGTCTCACGCTTTTACTCCCGAACCAACAGCTTCCTGAAGATTGTTCCTGAACCAAAGCAACTTGAATGTAATCAGCAGAAGGTTGTGACTGTGCTTTACTCCCTAAACAGTGAAGCATATGAGGATGATTCCAATGTAAAGTTCTTCTATTTGGTGAGTCTCAGAGTCAGTGGGTTCCTGGAATCCTGTTCAATTGTACGTCTGCTTAGCCCCGCACAGCTTAGGAAGCAAGCATCAGTCACCCCATGGTGACCAGAGTAAGGGCAGCCTTCTCACTTTGCTGATGAATACTGTTCCATCCATTAACAACAAACACATAAAATGATCTAAGGCAATTTAAATTTCCCGAAGGTTGAAGAACTTGCCGTTCAGAATCTGCTTGTTTAAGCATTCAAATGTAACTCATAACAAGTATGTATGATCCTCTGTAATAGTAAAATATTGGGTAGATGCCAGAAAGCAAGGTGGAAAACTTATTTTGATAAGCAGTAAACGGACTTCGTTCTCTTGGTTCTGTCATTTTGTCTTTCTAAGGAGGAACCTCCAACCTTTTTGGCACCAGGGACTGGCTTCATGGAAGACAATTTTTCCACAGATGGGGTGGGGATGGTGGGATGGCTTCAGGATGATTCAAGCATATTACATTTATTGTTCACTTTATTTCTATTATTATGACATACTCATCATAGTGTGGAATCAGTAAGAACCCTGTGTTTGTTTTCCTGCAGCTAGATGGTCCTGTCTGGTGGTAATGGGAGACAGTGACAGGTTATCAGGCATTAGCTTCTCTTAAGGAGCACACAACCTAGATCCCTCACATATGCAGTTCACAGCAGGGCTTGTGCTCCTATGAGAATCTCATACCACTGCTGATCTGACAGGAGTTCAGGTGATAACGCCTGCTCACCACACTGCTCACCTCCTGCTGTGTGGCCCAGTACCTAACAGGCCATGGACAGGCACCTACCAGTACACAGCCTGGGGACTAGGGACTTCTGCTCTAAAGCTTGTCGAAGAGTGAAAAGACAAAGACCTGGAAATTAAGACATTAACTTGAATCCCCCACCCTCTCCTGGTAAGCATGCAAGTTAGTGCATCTTGGACAGATCGTTTGAACTGTTTTAACCCTTGGCTTCCTCAGGTGTACAGTGTAATTGGAGATTATAAGACTTACCTCTGAGGGTAAGTGTTCTGTGTCAGGCACTGTTATAAGGATTGCACATGTGTTAACTCATTTAATTAGCCTTATAGGTATCTCCATTTTACAGATAAAGGAACAGAGGCAAACAGGTAAAACGTCATGCCTTAAGTCACAAAGTTAATGAGCAGGTGAAGGTGTATTTGAAACCAGACAGCCCTGACAATTTCAGAGCTTTATGTGCCACTTGGCACAGTGCATTACACATAGTTCACAAAGTTTCCAGTACATAATAGAACCTCAATCAATTTTAGTCCTTTTCTCTGCTCTTTTCTAACTTATGCAAAGTCTATTTTGAATATTTGCTTGTAGAAGCTACCCTATCTTATGGAACAGAATTACCGTTAAGTAATAAATTACCTAATCGCAGTGTGAGAATATGATGACATTAGATAATATATTGCATGTTATGTTTTCTTTGTTCTGCACAGATGATGGTAAAAGGAGCTATCTTACTCAGTGGACAAAAGGAAATCAGAAACAAAGGTATATACAATATATTCATTTTAAACTATGTACTCTAACTTCATTTTTTTCTTGTTAAGGAAATATAGACATATATATGGGAATTATATATATTAAGACAATACATTTATATGTAGTCAAACTTACGTGTGTGTGTATGTGTGTGTGTGTGTGTGTGTATATATGTGTGTATATATGTGTGTGTGTGTGTGTATATATATAGTGAAAAGAAGTTAGAACGAGCACTTATTTCAATTTGTGGATGAAGGGAATAGTTAGCACAGCCTGAGGTAAGCTACTAAATGTCTTGATGAAGGAGAGTTCTACCTATTTCTTTTATTGGCAGGTCATTGAGTACATTAGAAAAGTGGTGTACAAAATCCCAGTATTGTTATTATCTAAATTATGCAGTCTTCTTTATTTGTGTATGTACTTCCTATTATTTGATTTATTCATCTTGAAAACAGGGCCAAATTTACTCTTTCTGTCCATGAGCCATTCTCTTTTATCTAAGTGTACCAGTGATCCAGGAAACTCTCGGTATTTTATCTGTTCGTCTCCTATTTACACAGCCTGGAATGGAAACTTCTCATTCCCAATCAGCATCAGTACTGATCTGGCTCCTGCGGCTGTCCTGTTTGTCTACACCCTTCACCCCAGTGGGGAAATTGTGGCTGACAGTGTCAGATTCCAGATTGACAAGTGCTTTAAACACAAGGTGATGTTTCTCCTATTTCTGGCCTGAGAAGTGGGAACAGTTTGCTCCCTGCTGTCTTCTCTTCTGACTACTATCACCTTCAAGTGGGAAACTCACCCTCAGTGCTGGCATAATTGAATTCTTAGGGGATGCGAGAATCACCAAACACCATGCATGATCCTTGGCAGCAGTGCCAATCCTGAGACGGCAGCAGGGTGGTGAAGGGGGTCTTCTGCGAGGAGAGCTGAGGGTGAGAGTGGGCAGGGGAAATACAGTACAGAAATCTCTAAGGATTTATTCAGGAGAGATTACATGTATTCAGATCATCTTTACATAAAATGGTCTCTACTCTCATTTCTTTTTTTTCCTCTACTTTAGGTTAACATAAAGTTCTCTAAAGAGCAGGGCCTACCTGGCTCCAGTGCTAGCCTCTATCTTCAAGCAGCCCCTGACTCATTCTGTGCCCTCCGGGCTGTGGATAGGAGCGTCCTTCTACTGAAATCGGAACAACAGCGGTCAGCTGAAAGTGTAAGCTCTCTGACTTCCTTGTTTTTCATGTTTCTCTGGACTCCCAGAAGTCTTAGCCTTCAGGTGATGTTTTGAACATCTTGAAAATATTGAATGTTTTCTTCCTTTGTTCCTTCATGGATTATATACTTATTTTTCTTGGCTACCCTAAGAACATGCTTATAACAATAGAGAATTTGATAGATAATTATAACAGTTTAGGAATTTTACAACTGTGATTTTTAAAAATCATAGGTGTAATCATAGATATGGAAACCTGGAATAAAATGAAATCTCTGTGTTCAAGAATCTGCTTGGATTCAGTGTAAAGTTATTTTCTATAAATGCATCTTTTATTTTCTTAAATATTTCCAGACCTGGAATTCCAGAAGTTCACATCAAATTTATTTCGGCTAACAATTGTTGGACATTTTGTGTTTATTTCCAACACAATTACATATAAATAACTATTGAAATTTATGATCATGTTTAAATCTAATTTAATAATTTAATTTTTCTGATTAATATTATACCTGTATAATATAGAAAATGTGCAAAGTATACAAAGACATAAAGAAGGAAATTTTAAAAATCATTTATAGTCCTAACACTTAGGCATCTTTATAGTTTTGCTGTAATTTTTAAAAATCTCTTTTCTGAAGGCATATATATTTTACAAACTTGAGATCTCACCAAAAATTACAATTCTGTATTTTGTTTTCAACACTCTATAGTAAGTCCAGTTTTAAATATAAAATTATAGAATTCAGTAATAATAACTGAATAACTGTGAATCATGATAGAAACCATGTAAGTTTTCTATTACAGGGAGCAAAAATACTTTTAGTTAGAGGCTTTCAGGATCTGAGGAGGCATCAAACAAATAAAGGATAAATTTATCTGTAAATATGGAATATGGTCGTGTGCTGTGCTCACGCCTGTAATCCCAGCACTTTGGGAGGCCAAGGTGGGCAGATCGTTTGAGCTCACGAGGTCGAGACCAGCCTGCACAACATGATGAGACTCTGTCTCTCCCAAAAATATGAAAAATGAGCAGGGCACAGTGGTGTGCACCTGTGATCTCAGAAACTTGAGAGATTGACATGGGAGGATTGCTTGAACCCTGGCGGGGTCAGAGGTTGCAGTGAGCCAAGATTGTGCCACTATGCTCCATCCTGGGTGACAAAACGAGACCCTGTCTCAAAGAAAAAAAGGAATATATATATACACACACACACATACACACACACACACACACACACTTTTTTTTTGCCTTGAGAGTTTCATGGATTCAGCTTCTGCTCATTCTTCCTACAGTTGGAGGTGGCAATATCTTAGGAAAACTGTCTCAAGGAAAGACCATCAAGGGACCTCAAAAAGAAAATTCTAGAGGCATTTTCAGATGTCTCAGAATATATCAGAACCAAAAGAGGTTGCCCTTGTTTATTATTGATAGCTATATCATTAGTATAAATCAAGTGAAGTTCTATAAATGAGTGAATTCCAATTTACATTCTATACGTTTAAGTTATTTTTTTATATTATGTTATGTAAGCTTAGCTTTTAGTTTTAAATAATTTTTTAAAGTGCAAGGATAGCACAGAGAACTCCCATATACCATTGACCTGATTCACCAGTTTGTGAACATTTTGCCATACTTGTTTTCTCTTTCTCACTCTCTCCACCCCTACACACACACACACACACACACACACACACACACACACACACACACAGAGTTTATGGCATTTCAATTTTTTCTGAATCATTTGAGACTAGGTTACATACATCAGTCTATCGTGAAAGGAAAATACAAATAACTCAAGACTCCAATTCACGATGCTAAAAGGACAAAAAATGAGGCTGAAAACTGAGTCATGGAAGAAGTTGTTTTTCTTTTGTTCCTAAGCAGATAGCTAATTTACTGCCTTGTTAGATTAGTTAGTGGTTTACCTATTTTGCCGAGTTTTCCAAAAACATGTAATTTTAATTTATTAACGTGATGTCATATGATATGAGGTTTTTTGCTACTCCACCACATTAATTTCTATTTTTATATTGATTATTTCCTTACTGGTGCTTTATTTTGTCGTTATTTTTAGCTTTTTCACTTAGAAGTTTACTTCATTTTCATTAATTATTTTATTGGGTTCGGTGTTTTTAAGCCTATAAGTTTTTCTATGATTCCTACTTTTGAAGTATCTCATAGATCCTGATACACAGCAATCGCACCATTTTTATTTTTCAGAAATTCTGTAATTTCTGTTTGTATTAACCCTTTCACTGAAAATTTGCTTACTGGAGTATTTTATAATTTTCATGTAAAAAGGAATTTATTTTAGAGTTTTCTTTTAAATTTCAAGTTCTATATCTTCATGGTCAGCAATATTTCCACCGATGTATTTTTGTGCCCAAATATATAATGAGGTTTTGCGAATATATCTTATGTGTTGGAAAGATATAGTCTCTATTGTCAGTTTGTTTTCCATCCACGAGGTTGGATTATTTTGATCCTTTGCATTCTTACTTGTTTTGTAAAATTTATTTAACCTTCTTCTGCTGAGTGATATGTTAAAATACCCTACTAATAGCGCTCTGTTTCTTCTTGCATCTTCTGTAGTTTCTGCACAGGTAATCATAACTGTTATGGCTTTATTATGAATTGTAGCTTTTAGCAGTAAGTATTCTTCTCTGTCTTGTTTGATGTCTTTTGGCCTTACTTCTGCTATTTCCGATAACAGGAGGATTGCAGCCTTTGCATTCTTATTATTTTCCTTTACCTACCCTTTGGATTTCACATTTTGAAATACACACTCCACTTGTCTTTCGTATCAAGTACAGCATTGGGTTTTGTTTTAAATATACATATCTTTGTCTTTTAAAGGAGAATAAAGTCTATTCACTCTATTGATATAATGTACGTGTTAGGCCTCAGCTCTATCATATTATTTTTCTTATGATTCTATATTTTATTTTAAACTACTTTATTTCTTTAGCTTTTTTGTTTGTTTTTTGTTATCTTGCTTAAAGCTTCTTTGAGTAGTCAGGCCAGGTTGAATTTTTATTATAGTGGCTATTTTTATATTTACATATTTTATAATATCGCAATCACATTTTTTTCTTGCTTAACCTTAATATCTAGTCCATTATTTTTAATCTTTGAGTCTTAACTGCTACCTACACAACAGTCAGTAATCTCTAGTTTCCACTTTTCTCTCCCTCTTCTCTCATTTGATTGTGGTATCTTTCCTTTTTTGTCAGGATATATAATGTTTACATTCTTTATTGTTTCTCTTATTCATCAAGTTTTACTAATTTCCTGAGTCACCTTTTGGTTACATAAAGCTCATTCTCCAGGAAGCTGGGGTAAGAAGATTGCTTGAGCCTGGGAGATCGAGGCTGCTGTGAGCCATTATTGTACCACTGCACTTCAGCCTGGGCAAGGGAATGAGACCCTGTCTCAAAAATAAATAAATAAAAATTTTTTAAACATGAATTCTCTACTAAAGTCCTCAGGATATCACATAAGTATAGAATTCTCTGACATTTTCATATTCGAAATTATTTTTTCTAAAGCCTTAATAAATGAAGGACAGGTATTTGTATATTAAATCTTTGGTTTATACATTTTAAAATTTCTTTGGAATGCTACCCTATTATTGACTTGCTTTGAAAATGGCTTTTAATAGTGCTGACATTAGTTTAATTCATTTTCCATTGTGGGCTACTTTATCTTTATGTCTGAAGGCCTTGGATGTTTTTCCCGCTTATACTTTAATCTAATAGTTTCAGTAAGTATGTATTATTCTGTAGAAGTTTTGCCAGATACGTAGTGGACTCATGCAATATATAAACTCAAATCTTTTTTATTTTCAGATATTTCTCCTGAATTATAATTGTGAATATTAGTCTTTCCCTTTTCTTTTGTTCTAAAAAAAAAATCTCTGTACATTTGTTGAATCTTCCTTGCCTGCTTTCTAATTCAATCACTTTGCCTGTGACCTGCTTTAATTCATTCTCTCTCAGTTTTATTCTTTTGTTTTTCCTCTATGCTGCCTTTAAAGTTTTCTCTGAACTGTTTTACCTTGATGTCCTTATACTTTAGGGTTTATTGATGATACAATTTTGTCTAGTTTTTCTGAGTTCAATAAAGCCTCATTTTATTTCTTCTTGATTTTTTTCCCATTTCTATCTTCTCTTAATTGGATTTCTGACTCATGCTGCCTTTTAAATACCCCAAATACGTGCTTGAGAATATTTCACTTATGTTAAATTATTTTGGTATGACTTTTCTTCATTTACTTATTTATTAGGGACTTTAGTGAAGAAGTTTCATTAGCTGAACTGTTTTGGTTTACATTTCCTATTTTCTCTTACAGCAGCTTTGTATGGAGTTGATTTTTTCTAGTTCTTGATATTTTGTGCACAGTGTTCATAGGTGAAGAGTACCCTTCCTTTTTATTAGTAAAATGCATTATTTTAAAAATGTTGGTGATGGAAATGAGGGTGAAGGGAGTTATTTTATCCTATGACATCCTTGCCTTCTTTAAATGCCCTGTCTCCAAGGATCTGCACACCTCTTCTTGTGATCTGATTATTTCCCATTAGCCATGTTTTTTGGAAGCTTCCACTACCAGGCCCATTCATTCCAAGCCCTTTCCCTGTGTGTAGTACTGGGAACTGTTGAGTCTGAAAACTATGATTTGTATTTTTAACAATGCTAGACTTTCTTTTACTTGGCGTTCACTTGGTGCGTGTTTCTTCTCATTTTTCCATGCCATTCTGCTTTTTCTCTGCAGTCTCTTAAGCCTTCCCTCTGCAACAGCAGTAGACGCTCTCTTGGAATTTGGTGTTTGTTTCTCTACTAAGGAATAATTTGAAGATCATGGTATTCTCTGTATCGCAGTAATGTTAAAGATATTAGTCATGAGTATCATTACTTGTTCTCTTTGTTGATTTTATGTTTTCTTTGGAAGATTAAGTAAGAAGATTTAAAATCAGCCAGCTAACATTATTCTCCAGACTTAGAAGTTCTAGCATTATAATTGATTGTCTGTACAATGGGCCTTGGGTTAATCAATAATCAGGCATTGCTTTCTTATATTCTCTCTTAAATCCTGTGCCTAAGCTGAGAAATTCTGTGAATATGGTATCGGTGGCCTAAAACAAAACTGGTTTGCTCTTTTGAAAGGAAGAGCTTAAGTGAAAATACTGGATTAAATATCATGGCCATGCTCTTAAAGAAAAGAACAAGAATAAATGGTACAGTACACAGTTTGCCAATTTTGTAATTTTAAAAAAAGTGTTTAAAATTATTGGGAAATGTTTTTTCTCATAGGTGTATAACATGGTTCCAAGTATAGAGCTGTATGGTTATTTCTACCGTGGCCTCAATCTTGATGATAGCAAGGAAGACCCTTGCATTCCTCAGAGAGATATGTTCTACAATGGTTTATATTACACACCTGTAAGCAACTATGGGGATGGAGATATCTATAATATTGTCATGGTAAGATCACTAAGGATTTTGGAAAATATTTCATCTCAATTTTTAGTATTCATAATGCATATTGATGTTTTCTTAATTATGTAGTTTTCTGCCTGGACTTTGAGATTCGTGTCTGTAATCTGCCAGTACAGTACAGAGAAACTGTCTTATAAAAAGGAGATATTAATTTTGTTGATTTTTAAATTTTCTGCTGAAAATAAATCATGTAGCTATAATTACAAAACCTCATTTAAAGAAAAAGACAGTCTCCAATTAATACAATAAATCTTATGCAAAGATAGTCAAATCAAGGGGTTAAGAGAGTGTGGACTCCAGATATCCCTAGGCCATTAATGAAATACGCTGAGCCTTCCATGAAAGAATCTTTATAATTAACGTCACAAGTGTATAAGAAAAGGGGCGTTGAATCAGACAGACTTTATCAAGTTCCAGCTCTTCAATTTACTGAGTGTGCTGTGTGTGTGTGTGTGTGTGTGTGTGTGTGTGTGTGTGTGTGTGTGTGATGTTAATTAGGGTAATGATAGTGCTGATCTCATCAGTATTTTTCACTTAGGGTGAAATGGAGAATAATGGAAAATACTTAGAAAAATGCTAGCACATAATAAGTGCTAGATAAATCACAGTAATTACCATTTTTTTTCTCTAAAATAGGGCTTTTCCATAAGTCAAATAGAGGTAAGTTGACTTGTAACTTCTCAGGCCTTTGTTAAGACAGAAAATATGGATACCGACGATCCATTTATCTTTACAATATAAATAACAGGCCTTTTATAGTTCTTGCATGAAAAGAATGAACAATATTTTTGTTGTTTGTTTCTTTAAAGAACATGGGTCTGAAAGTCTTTACCAATCTCCATTACCGAAAACCAGAAGTATGTGTGATGGAGAGAGGGCGTTCACTCTCTAAGCCGCTTTATGTAGGAACAGAAAATTATGGTCTGATGCTTAGTGCTCCATCTAGAATTGCATGTAGGTAATCTTAAATTTTTTGTTGGGGGATGACCGAAGCGGTTTGTGGAATTTAGTGTATTTGAGATAAACTATACAATTTTGGAATTTTATATGTGAATTATGCCATATTTTTGGCTACAATTAGACATCCTATAGTTGGATAAAGCAGAATAAGACAAACTAGAAATGCTTTTGGCTCTAATAAGAAATTAGCTTCAGAGGTGAGATGTGGTTTACTTTTATTGATAAAATACAATGTCAGAAATACAATCATGCTTCACTTAGTGATGGAGAATTTGTTCTGAAAAATGCATTGTTAGGTGATATTGCTGTGTGAACATCATACAGTGTACTTAGACAAGCCTAGATGCTGTAGCCTACAACACACCTAGGCTGTGTGGTACACCCTATTTTTCCTACGCTACAAACCTCCACGGCATGTGGCTATACTGAATACTGTAGGCAGTTGTAACACAATGGTAACTATTTGTGTATCTAAACATTGCTAAACATGGAAAAGGCACAGTGAAAATGTGGTATACAAGATAAAAAAAAAGTTGTACTTTTATATACAGCACTTCCCATGAATGGAGCTTGCAAGGTTAAAAGTTACTCTGAGTGAGTCAGGGTACAAATATATTTTCTTTCTTTACATCCTTATTCTATAAGCTTTTTCCTATTTTTCAATTTTTGTACCTTTTATACTTTTTTGTTAAAAACGAAAACGCAAACACACACATTAGTCTAGGCCTATACAAGGTCAGGATCATCAATATCACTGTCTTCTACCTCCACATCTTGCACCACTGAAAGGGTCTTCAGGGATAATAACACACATGTACTTTACCTTTGGAGGTCCTCAAAGCATTATTTGGAGTTCATAATACTGAAGCCTAGAACCAAGTAGAACCTTTCTTTTTCTGAGGAGTATTGTAGCATAAATGTGATTATAAACAAAGTACACTTGATATATGTATGCAATGCCTGCTATTTATACAAAATTTAAATCTGCAAATGGAATCAACATGTTTATGGGTTATTAAAATTATCTCATTTCTTAGGTTCTTTATAGTGCACGTGTTGAAAATAAATGATTAAGTGACTAAGAAAAAAAAAAAATAAAAAAAATAAAAAAAAAAAAATAACACACATGGAGTTGTCCTATCCTGTGACAGCAATGCCTTCTTCTGTAACACCTCCTGAAAGATCTGCCTGAAGCTGTTTTGCAGTTAATTTTTTTTTGATAAGTAAAAAGAGTACATTCTAAACAGTAAACAGTGTAGTATACTGTTTACTGTAAGCACAAAAACCAGTAACATAGTCATTTATTATCATTATCAAGTATTATGCACTATACAGAATTTCTCTGCTATATTTTTATAGGACTGGCAGTGCAGTAGGTTTGTTTATACCAGCATCATCACAAACCCATGACCAATGCATTGCACTACAATGTTATGATGGCTTTGATGACAATAGGTGGTAGGGATTTTTCAGCTCCATTATAATCTTACAGGACCACTGCAGTCTAAGTGGTCTGTCGTTGATCACAATGTCATTATGTGGTAACTGACTGTGTATAGGAACAGGCAATGTATGGTGATACACAAAAACAGTCATAGTTAGTGACTGTGATACAGGAAAGTGAGGTGTTTTATGGGGACCTTACACCCTGATAATATATAGACCATAATTTGCAGAGTCCAAAGTCTGAATAAGGTACTTCTTCCTTTTTTTTTTTAGCTGGTGAAATCAGAGAGGAGAATGCTGACAATGTAGAACAGGCTATAATTCAAACAGTAAGAACGAACTTCCCAGAAACATGGATATGGGACCTCGTCAGTGTCGAGTGAGTTTTAACCATTTTCTCTCCTATGTCTCTTTATTTCTATTTTCTTTTTCTTTCTTCACTTTTATTCCTCGGTATATAAAACAGTATCATATTTGTAAAATATATATCATCGATTTGCATGCACTGATCACACATATTATTTTATTTTTTCTCTAGCATTGTTTTCCCTTCACCAAGAGTTTCTCTTCTATTCATTTTATGCAGGCAGATTTAAGCTGCCCCAATTAAAAAACATAATGTGGGCCGGGCGTGGTGGCTCATGTCTGTAATCCCAGCACTTTGGGAGACTGAGGCAGGTGGATCACCTGAGGTCAGGAGTTTGAAACCAGCCTGGTCAACATGGTGAAACCCTGTCTCTACTAAAAATACAAAAAAAAAAGCCGGGCGTGGTGGTGGGCACCTATAATCCCAGCTACTCGGGAGGCTGAGGCAGAAGAATTGCTTGAACCCAGGAGGCAGAGGTTGCAGTGAGCTGAGATCGTGCCACTGCACTCCCACCTGGGTGACAGAGAGAGACTCTGTCTCAAAAACAAAAAACAAAAAAACACATAATGTGGTGTTTAAAGAAACATGACCTTTCTATACTCAAATTTTATAAAAATCCAGCTCTCATTATTTTTATCTAATGCCCCATCCAAACAATATAACTCACTTTTGAGCTTCAGTCAATACTTTTCTGCTTGCTTCGCACTTAATTTTAAGTTCTTGGTTCAGACAAAGAATGTGTTTTACCAATAACCTCTTCTTCCAGTTCCTCAGGCTCTGCCAATCTTTCATTCCTCATTCCTGATACGATAACCCAATGGGAGGCAAGTGGCTTTTGTGTGAATGGCGACGTTGGATTTGGTGTTTCCTCTACAACCACTCTAGAGGTCTCCCAACCTTTCTTTATTGAAATTGCTTCACCCTTTTCGGTTGTTCAAAATGAACAATTTGATTTGATTGTCAATGTCTTCAACTACTTGGATACATGTGTAGAGGTGAGTTATTCTCTTGGATCTGGAGGCAAAAATTTAACAAAGCTAAAATATTTCTTAATATTTCCATATTCTCTTTATTCTCAAATGCAAAATGCTACTATAAAGGTATGAGACTTAGGTCTATATTCTTCAAACAAATATAATTGCTTTCATTCACAGTGACGGTTTAAACAGTGTATTGCGCACGGCATTTCATAGTGATGTGTGTTCCAGTGCCATCCTCATTGCCATGATTGTTTTCGTAGATTTCTGTTCAAGTGGAGGAGTCTCAGAATTATGAAGCAAATATTAACACCCTGAAAATCAATGGCAGTGAGATTATCCAAACTGGAGGGAGGAAAACAAATGTCTGGACTATTATACCTAAGAAATTGGGTAAGCAGCTATCTGTCTACACCAGTCGCTCATGGAAAACCAGCCCATATTAATTGTATCCATTTATTTTCCTTAAATTGTCTATACAAACATGATTTTCTCTTTTACATTTTTAAAATTCTTGTTGTAAATTCTCCATTAGAAATTCTAATCTATAGTAATCTAATTTCTGGTTGTCAATGTTGTGTAGTGCAAAACCACAGTCATTTTTACAAGAGCATAATGCAATTAAAATACAATATAAATGCTAACTTGCATGACCTATCATGGACTATATGTTTGGAATACGCCATATCCCAAATAAAGGCCATGTTGTCATTAATGCCACCTTAATTCTTTGACTTCTCACTGGCTCCTTCGCCTACCATCATGAACCCAGGCCACCTTCACAAAACTTGCTACTCCATCACAATGATCAGTTAGGTAATTGTCAGGTTTGTAAATTTACTACATGTGCCACGGGGATACCAAAATCACTAAATGATTGGAATGAGATCAAAAACTGAGAATATTTAGTGCCTATGCTATCTGCAAGATGGAAAAATAAACTTGTCTCCTATTGAAATATCGAAAATACATGGAATGGAAAAAGTTTAAAACTCTAGTAAACAAGGAATGCTAGATGTGATATGTGTGATACTTTTAATCACTACTTTTAAAAAAGTCATTCAAATTTTCTTTATTTAATGTCCTATATTTGTTGTATTATTTTAACAGCAAATAATACATCGATGAGATTATTTTTGTTCAGTTGTGATGCTGTTCTCAGACTATTTTTCTATTAGATTTGAAGTTTCTCAATATTTCTACTGCACAAGATCTTCAAAATCCTACCTTGGCAATTGAGATAGAATCCTGTACCAACTTGTATAGTTTTATGACATTAAGTTGAAGACACAGTGTTAAGAGTGAAATAACAAGCTTTCTGAGACAGAGAAACAAATCAAACACACCAAAAAATAAGAACAATATATTGGTTGTATATATTGATGTATAGTCATGTAAATAATAATAACTTTAAAGAATGATTGTTTTCAATCCTCTAATTTTTACAAGCAAGGAAACTGGAGATCAGCTCTAATTATGTAATGTGAAGTCAGGAAGTTTAAAGACAATGAATTCCTTGCTAGGACAGTATTTCAATCCCAGTGCCTGTCTACTATATCATATTTTACTCTTTTTGTTTGTTTGATCTTGGGAAAAGTTAGGAGCCCTAATTAACTGATATTATTTGCCTATATTGTCATAAGTAATCTTTATAAACAATATCAAGGAATTGACTCCGATGACTTTGTAGAATGTTACTTTTCCTAAAATTCCTTAAGTTTTAATTAAGTAAATTCATCATTTACTTAATATAAGGAATCATGAAAATCAAGGAAGAGGTGAAATAGAAGAGACCACATTGTATCTAGGAGGGAGAAGAAACAAGTTATTTTGTTCTAAGCATCAAATTAACGATAGAATTTGGTTCATCCCATTCAAGACATGGTTCACAGACTCTAGTCATTTCTCATTATAGAAGGGACCAATGATCAGTTTAATTTACATTTTGGAATGTCTTCCAGGTAAAGTGAATATCACTGTAGTTGCTGAGTCCAAACAAAGCAGTGCTTGTTCAAATGAAGGAATGGAGCAGCAAAAGCTAAACTGGAAAGACACTGTGGTCAAAAGCTTCTTGGTAGAGGTATGGATATGCCAACTGTCAAGCTTTTCCTGAAAAGAAACAGACATCCAAGAGGCTCTGTCTTAAAAGACATTCTCCTTGAAGAGACTTAGTTGACAACATTTACTTTTGACATAAGACATGCCATTTTAAATGAATTAAAACAGCATAAAGTTCATCCTTTCTTTAATTAATACCTCACCCAGGATAGTAAAGCTTAACACTTGAAACAGACTTGACAATTTTTTGTTTGTTTCTGAGTCAAGATGTTTCCTGTACACCTATTTCTCCTCCTTCTATTTTTCCGATTCTCATATTCAAGAGACAAATCTACTTGTCCTACACTCCCGTGCAGTTCCCGTCATCCTCAACAAGAATCAGCACTTGTCAGAGGAACACTCTTGATTTGCCTCTCGGCACATCCCTGCTCCACAAAGCACTTTTAGTTGTTTACTGGAGATGCTATATAGGATCAAAGGAGCTGAGAGTGTCCCACAATGACATCAAGGTTATGCCTGTCCAAGCTACAGAACGCAGAGGCTAAAATGGGTGCTGGTGACGTCCCATGCCTTCCAGATATGAACAGAAGGGGACCATGAGTTGGATCTTCTCTCAGGGATAAACTTGCACCTGCCATGCTTAAGTGAGCTGGTGCTTAATCACTTTTCCATCATGGACAGAGGACTTAAACTCATTCTTCTGTGCTTGTTTGTGTTACTCTTTGACAGCCTGAAGGTATTGAAAAGGAAAGGACCCAGAGTTTCCTTATCTGTACAGAAGGTAAGAGGATCTTTTAGGAAGTCAAATTAGTTATAAATAAAATTCACCAGAAGAATCAGTTTATGTCCTCTCCTTCCACATAAGTCCATGTGCCCTGTGATTTCACTTTAAATATCTCATGGAGGATTCTCGTGTTTCATGCTTTATCTTCATGATATAATTTTAGCCATTGAGAAGCATATTCAGAAGGTGGTTTTTAGTTCACTTTTTGATGTTGGTCTGCCCCGACCTATCTTTTTTTTCATTATGTGTATTCTTAGCTCCTCTTATGATATGGTTGTCACACAACATTGGACAATGGGACATCAGGATTGAGGCCCAATAGCACATAATATAATCTTTGCTTTTGTACTCTTAGAATAAAATCACCCGTAGATACATCACTGCCCCTGCCCCTCAGTCTCTGGTTTTATGGCCATGAGGGGTATTATTTTACCTGGTTGATGGTGATCTGATTATACTCCCTCATCAGAGCCTTCAAGCTTTACCTTTTGTGTGTGTTGTTTTATGTGTTACAGTCAGTGTAGTTTTTACATTTTTTTCATACATAAATAGTTCAGGCACTAAACCAGTGAACAATGGGGGCCACAATCTAATGCACAGATTTAAATGCCATTTTCTGAATGTACTGTTATCCTAAACTAGGTCAAAACTCCAATTTCATCTCCTCTAATAAACAACTTGTAAAATAAAAATAAGTAATGGAATCTTACTTCCAATACGTGTATCCCCCAAATCTGCTGATATAAAGAAGCCGTCACATTTTTTAAATCAATATTTTCATTCCAGGTGCCAAAGCCTCCAAGCAGGGAGTTTTGGACTTGCCAAACGATGTAGTAGAAGATTCAGCCAGAGGCTTTTTCACTGTTGTGGGTGAGTTGATTAAATGTTTTGTTTCACAATGATTTGAAAATCTTGGTTGAGGTGGTCTTAAAAAAAATCCTTAAAATAACAGAATAGAGAGATTTTCCTAAGCGATCAATTGGAGGGAATTATTGTTCAGATCACCCTCTATGTTTCCTGATGGGATCTGAAGGGATTACAGTACCGTTTCCAGACCTATATTCTCAGGAAACCCTAGCTTGTGTAGATGGTAACTAGCGTTCAGAAAGCAAGAGGTTCTTTATAATCATTAATCTGAAATATGAAATTCACCTCTTGGAGAATCAGAATTAACTTTGCCTGTTAATGATGTTGGGAGTTTTCTCAGTACAAGGAGAATTTTTTGTTGTTGCTACGAAAGGCAAGCTTCTTTGTCTGTTATTAACATGAACATCTCTTGGAAGGGATGGATTACACTTTGTAATTCATAGGATTGGTTTATTTAAAAAAGAAAAAAGTAAAACTAGCAAACAAGCAAACACATTCTCCTAACTTCCTCCTCTCTCTGGTAATGAGATTTTCAGAAATATTTTCCATAGCACTTTAACCTCACCCTTCAGGGCTATCTCCTCTTTCAAATTGCTTCATAAAACTTTCTTTGTTTCCACCATTTAGACTCAATTTTAAATGTTACCTATTCCACTAGGCCTCTTTTGTCTGTTGTTATTAATGCTGAGATGGCAACTGTAAACAATACAGCTTTCCGCTTTTCCTGTTTTTAGGAGATATTCTAGGACTTGCCATGCAGAATCTGGTTGTTCTGCAAACGCCCTATGGAAGTGGAGAGCAGAATGTGGCCCTGCTGGCATCTGATACTTACGTTCTTGACTACCTGAAATCTACTGAGCAACTGACAGAGGAAGTTCAATCTAAGGCTTTCTTTCTCTTGTCTAACGGTGAGAAGATTTAAGTAATTTCTGCCCATAATGGTTGAAATCAATTGTAACTCATACAAAGATGTCATAAGCTGTTTTTATGCAATAGTCTGGTGAAAGAAAAGTGAACCTGAACCTAGGAACTCTCAGTCCTAGCTCTGTTTTCTGTTTGACTTCAAAATCTGTGTGGTCATCATTTGCAGTTGCAGAGTTTTCAAGCTATGCACTTAATTTTTTTTAATGCCTGGTATTTTGCAAGCTACCTTGTTTGTTGTTGTGATTGCTGTTGTTTTTGTTAAGAGTTGTTGTCAGTGGTTCATCTATCAACGTCTGTATTTGTTTGCTCAGCTGTGGTCTGTTGCAATGAAGTGATTGGCTTTGTATACAGAAAGAGGGCCAATGTTGTAAAATGTGAGGTTAAGGAAAAGTCCAAGAGCATAAAATAATCTTCTTTGGTTTTTTTTCTCAGAAAGATAACACTGAAGTAAAAGGACCTTAGGGGAAATGTACTGAATAATTAGTAGGTATCAATGATGAGGCAATTACTGAGCCAGACTTATCCATCTGTATTATCTTGTCATCAAAATCCTATAAAGTAAGAGTTATGTTTTCTCCCTTATAAATACAGAAACTGAGTTTCAGAAGTTCAAATGGAAATGATCATCCTAGTGATTTGTGTCTGTCTAACACCAAAACCTCGGGCTTGCACTGCACTATTCTTTCTCTTCTGACTTCTTAGGTTAAAAAATAATTTCTTACAATGTTCTCTTTTAGGTTATCAAAGGCAGTTATCTTTCAAGAACTCTGATGGTTCATATAGTGTGTTTTGGCAGCAGAATCAGAAAGGAAGCATATGGTGAGACATAAACATTTTATTTTATATGATATGGAAATTACCTGAGGAGGGCTTGCAAGGAGGTGAAGGAGGATAGAGTTCAGTGGGGATTTAGAAGCAAAGTGGGTTTCAAAGTCAATTTACAGAGGAGAAACAGATAAAACTAAAGATTTAGTGATTCTGATTCTAATACAATATACCTTCAGTCTCATGATGATTTGTTTAGCAGTCTGATCCTCTCATGACAGCCCGTACACAGGCACAGCTGGCTAACTCCACCGAAGAGGGCATGTCTTACTCTATGTTTCTCAGAGTCCCCTGTAGATTCAGGAAAGTGAAATTAGAAGAACCCAAAATGCCTAATTTTCTCTCCATGTATAGGTAATCTAATGGGCTACACAGCAAGACCTTTGGGTGCAAACATGCTGAAAATTACCTACTCCAATTTCCACTTATTGCTAGTCATAATATTTTCCTGACCCAAAGGAAAGAGCCACTATCAATAAAGACGGTTTACAGCAGATGAGTTGAATGCGTCCCTTACCCAAAGAGAACGATGGCGATGAACATGTGGAATTGCTAACATCGCCATTTCCTCTTTATCTAACTTTTGCTTTGGTGATTTGTACTACAGGCTCAGTGCTCTTACTTTTAAGACATTGGAGACAATGAAAAATTATGTATTCATTGATGAAAATGTTCAAAAACAGACCTTAATCTGGCTTTCAAGCCAGCAGAAAACGAACGGCTGCTTTAAGAATGATGGCCAGCTTTTCAACCATGCCTGGGAGGTGAGAGAGGGGCAGCACCAGGCTTTCCTTGCTCCTGGGCGTTGCCTGCCTTGCCCTGCCTCTGGCTTTCCTGATCTGGAATATGAATAATCTTCCTGTGAATATGAAGCCTTCTGAGCCACTGCAGTCCTGGGCCTGTGGTGGGTTGGTCAGCAGCACCATTCCCGCTGCGTGCATGTTTAACCACAGCCTGGATGTGACTCCTTCTGAGTCTCTTGTCTGCCTTACTCAGCCTCTAGTCCTTCCCCGGTCTCAGTCCTCTTCCGAAAGTAAACTAGCAATAGAAGGGAGGAGAGAGAAAGGGAACCTAGAAAAGAAACTTTCATAAATTTGGAGACAGTCAATGTATAAAGGGAGGGGGCTGTGAGTATATGAGGAAGGAAAGTTTATTCCTGTCCATGGATGGCAAGAAAGTTCTGGGGAGAGTATCTAGTAGTTCACATTGTTTCAATGAAGCAAGTTTTTCTAAGACCCTCTCAAGGAAAAATTCAAAGGCCAAGCTTGCCCCAGGGCCAAAGTACAAATGAGGTGAATTATATCCTTGGCAGAATCCAACCCTTTTCCTGTCCATATTTAGGTAAATCCCTCCCTTCCAACGTCCTTTCTTTGCAGATAGCTGTCCACCTCCAGCCCATCTTCTGTCTCCTTTCCTGTCCTATTTTTCCCTCTGGATGCTCAAAATCTCCCATCATGGCATTTTAGCATGCTCCGATGGCCCCTGAAATAACATGAGCTTTTCTTCAGCATCCTTCCTCTTGATCATCACTCCTGTTCTTGAAACACAGAATGCATATCTAATCCACATCAAAATATGAATGAAAACAGACACTCAATGATATTTAATTTGCATGCAAATTGTATTCAAATTGTTTTGTAGTATTTTTAATTTATTCCAAACTTATTCCTTACAACGGGGGGGCCCTGATGGAGAAGAGCTCTTGCTCCTTGGTAGAAAAATCAAAAACTTTCCCACGTTCTCTTCTAAAACATCTTCACATCCCATCTTTCTTCTTATCAGATTCATTACTGGCAAATCATTGCTGATTACTGCTTCAGTTTGTCTGATCTTCCCCAGTATTTTCTTTATAATTAAATATCTGTTGTGGGGGTGAGTGGGTGGGTGTCTGTGTGTGTTATGAGTTGAGAGAAATAAAAATGCAAGGGAAAAATAAAAGCTTACACTGCAGAGGAATGGTGATACCACTCGCTGTAATTTAGATGTACTGTGAGTCCTCGTACCTCATGTTATTGCCTACCATATGCTGTTATTTGCGTCTTAAACACTTGGTTTCTCAGAAATATTTCTTTTCTGAAGAAAGGAGGGGTTGTCCTTTGCTTAAATAGATAAAACGGAAAGCTTGTACAAGATCAGTAGATCCCAAATGCCATTCTGAATACCATTTCCATCAGAATCACTAGAGCACCCATTAAAATGCATTTCGCTGTCTTATTCCTGAGTTTTTTGAATGAGAATCTCTGTGTAGATGCTGGTTGATTTAAGTACCCCAGGGGACTTTTATGCACAGTCAGTTTGCAAACCACATGATTTCTAAATGAGTTTCTCATTTTACACTGTAAGAATCTGAGACTTGACTCTGGTGACCTTCTAGTGTGCTTTTCCAGGAATTTCCAGGAATCTTCACAGCAACTTTCTGCTTCACCTCGTTAGAGATTCTTTGTTGGCTTTTTTCAGATTTATACCAAGTGGAGACAAATAGAGTCCTGTGAATTCCTTAAAATGCATGCTTAACACCAGGCTGCATAAATATGATTATATATGTTATTTACTATATTTGAAATTAATTGTTATAATAATAACAACTTAATAATTATGATTTAATTATTGCATCTCTATGCAATAATTCTGAATGATTCTTGCTCAGATAATATGATTATTAACCATCTAATTTTAAAACTACACATATTCGGGTGTTTTTATGAATAATGGTATTTGTTCCAGTATTTTTTTCATACCTAGTTTTACTTCAGAAGAATACTTGTTATTTTGTGCTCTGCTGTCCCGAATGACTCATTGTTCCTTTGTTTTCAGGGTGGAGATGAAGAGGACATTTCACTCACTGCATATGTTGTTGGGATGTTCTTTGAAGCTGGGCTCAATTTCACTGTATGGATCCCCATCATCTTCTGATTTCAGTCAGCTGAATGCACATTAAATAGACTGTAGAGTCAGAGTCACTTGAGATTCTAAGACTAGATGAAACCCCGAGATAACATTTAGTTTATTACCACCCTTTAAATTAATGCTGTTCAAACTGTTTTTCATTCATAGACAGCTTTGTAAAACAGAATTGAGTTTCTCCCTAGGGAGAATACACATATGCACATGAAAGACTTATTCACACAATTGCAGGCATTCACATCTCTCCTAAAGTTCAGCCATGAATTTCAGATTAGAACCCCTGCTCTATGTAAAGCCATAGCCTAGTATTCTGTTTCTCTCTCAACAGTGAGTAAACATTTTCAACTCAAGTGTGGCTCACCCTCGCCACCTCCCAATCCATAGGTTAGATTTCCAAAATCTATTCCTGAACTAAGATGCTAGAAATTGTCAGGGTCATTAGTATACCTTGAAAATTATCTTCAGAAATGTAAGCCTCTTAGGCCTATGATAAATTTGGATGCTTTGCCACATAGAAGACATTCATAACTAAAATATCACTGATCAGATATAAAAACTACCATCTTCTCACTAAATTTTATTGGGCCAGACATGGTGGTTCATGTCTATAATCCAAGCACTTTGGGAGGCTGAGGCAGGTGGATTACCTGAGGTCAGAAGTTCAAGACCAGCCTGGCCAACATGGTGAAACCCTGTCTCTACTAAAAATACAAAAATTAGCTAGGCTTGGTGGTGCATGCCTGTGATCCCAGCTACTTGGGGGATGGAGGCAGGAGAATTGCTTGAACCTGGGAGGTGGAGGTTGCAGTGAGCTGAGATCATGCCACTGCACTCCAGACTGGGTAACAGAGCAAGACCCTATCTGAAAAAAAAAATTATTGCTTAGGTACTAATAATGACATTAGGAATTTATTTTAATGATATTTTTGAAGGATAAAATATATGTGTATATATAAATGGATTTGTATATAAAATATACTTTGAGGATATATTATATATATTATAAGCAATGATTAGTTTAAATGTTCAGCAAGCTCATGGAATGTTCAGTTATCAGTTTACAATATATGATTCTACTTCCTGACCAACAGTTTCCTGCTCTACGAAGCGCACTCTTTTGCCTTGAAGAGGCATTGGACAGTGGTGTCACTAATGGCTACAATCATGCAATTCTAGCTTACACTTTTGCCTTAGCTGGAGAAGAGCAGAAAGTGGAATCTTTACTCCAGACCCTGGATCAATCTGCCACAAAAATAAGTAAGCGTTATTATTCATTGTTGCTAGTGGGGGTGATCTTGGAGCACAGTGAGGAAGCATTCTAAGCAGTCACATAGGAGCTCCCTCTTCACCAGTGTGTTTCTATTTCTCTTATGGAATTTATCAGTGGCCTTTATACCTTCCAAGAACACTGCATATTCTAAACTTTCCTCTTTTGCTTTATGCTAGCTTCCTCTCAAATGAGTGATGTGAGGGGAGTCAAGCCTGGTGACCAAGCCATAGGCTACCGTAACTACTGGGGAAGCTTAATCACCTGCTACTTAGAAAGTTGCTATTTAAGGCTGTAGTAATTTGCTATAGCTGTCATCAAATACCACATACTGGATGACTTCAGCAACAAGTTTATTTTCTCATGCTTCTGGAGGCTAGAAGTCTAAGTTCAAGGTGTTGGAAGTGTGGTTTCTTCACCTGCAGGTGACCACATTCTCCCTTCATCTTCACAAGATCTTTTGTGTGTGCACAGCCCTGCTCTCCCTTTTGTGTGTCCAAAATTTTTCTTCTCATAAGGGCACCAGTCAGATTGGATTGTGGCCCGGAAGCTTCATTTTAACTTAGTCACCTCTTTAAAAAGTCTTATCTCCAAATACAGCCACATTTTGAGGTACTCGGAGTTGGGGTTTCAACATATAAATGTGAGGGGAGCAATTCAGCACAAACAGAGGTCGGAAATGGAATTTGCATCCTTCTTTATGTGTAACCCATGACTTTTATACAGACTATGTGAAAATTCTTCCTTTTTCTCAGATAACATCATCTACTGGGAAACAGAAAGGAAACCCAAGACAGAAGAATTTCCATCCTTTATTCCCTGGGCACCTTCTGCTGAGACTGAGAAGACTTGCTATGTGCTGTTGGCTGTCATTTCCCGGAAAATTCCTGACCTCACCTATGCCAACAAGATTGTACAGTGGCTTGCCCAACAGATGAATTCCCATGGAGGCTTTTCTTCTACCCAGGTGATTCATGTAGGCCTGATATTAATAGCAGTATGTTTAATGCAGAAGCTGTAACTCTATGATGAGTGAGATATTCATAGTAAAGATATCACAACAAATCCTTTCTGAGAAGAAGAATCGTGGGTATTATTAATCGTATTTTATTTCCTCAACAATTATTTGTTGGCCGGTTATTGTGTATCAGGCACTCTACTAGGAAGCCTCTAAGTAGAAGTGAATGAAATGAGGCCCCCTGCTCCAGGAATTTATCACCATTTGTATCTTCATTCACACAGCAAACACAGAATAAGCCTAGAGGATATTTTTGTCATAAGCACCACTCTTGGTGGTACATTAGACACCTGATGATACTATGTTCAAATTATATGTGGACCAAAAAGAAAGTTTTCTCTCTAGTTCTGTGGGCTATACACTGGGAAAAGCAAATGAAAAGAAGGAAAACAGGAGAAATGGGGGGTATGAGAAACAGTGACATGTTTTTCCTTACTTGGAAACAAATTGAAAATGCAAAAAAAAAAAAAAACAAAACAAAACAAAAAACAGTTTTATTTCCATGAGAAAAATCTGCATTTCTCTTTGTATTTGGTCTTAGTTTCTGAGTAAAACCATATACGAATGAATTTCCAAAGATCTTTTCCTGATTCTGACTTCCCTTCTTTGAAGAGGAGCAGAAAAAAAAGAATTATCCATGGCAGCCACAGGGGCCGCTGACTTATGTAATGCCTTAACTTTTAGAAAAGCTTTGACACCATTTTTAACCAAAGAGACTATCTTTTATGAAAAATTTTTAGAAAGTAAAAACACAATTAAGATTTGTTGAAGAAAACTAATTTAAGTGGAAACAATTTGCACAAGCAAGTATATTTTCCTACCATTCAGGATATTGCTTCTTGGTGTTTTGCTGACCTGTTTTAGGAACATTTCTAAGGATTGATATGAAGTCCGTGGTCAAATGATGACCAATATTGTGTCATAACTGAGCTTGGATCATTGCTTGTGCTGTTCTGTGCAGGAAACTCCAGTTTGTCTTCTTGCCATAACCCGTTACATGAAGTTAACCTTCTCTAAGAATCAAAACACCGTTACCTTTAGCCGTGAAGGATCCAGTGAGATTTTCCAGGTTAACAGTGATAACCGCCTACTGGTCCAACGTTCAGAACTAACAAAGGCACCTGGAGAATACACAGTAGATGTGGAAGGACACGGCTGTACATTTGTCCAGGTAACAGAAATCTGCCTGAGAGGGTGATGAGTGTTTGCCAGTAAAAGAGTCAGACTGTCTGTCCAGTTCTATGTGAAGTGTTATCTGACCGTTTTGTGTATTTACACGTCAATGGCCGAAAATGCAAGTTATTTTATGAAAAGGTACTCAGTTGTCGAAGTTTCTTGAGGATTATTGCTATTAGAAAGTATTCTATCTTCCTTAAATTACATTATTCTGAAAACTAAAGAATTTAACCCGATTCCCTGATGATAAAGATGTAAACTACATTAATAATAGAAATAAGCAACAGGTTCTTTCTTTTTAAAAATGTTTTATTTTTAATTTTTGTGGGTGCATAGTAGGTGTAAATATTTACGGGGTGCATGATACAGGCATACAATGTGTAAGAATCACATCAGGGCAAGTGGGGTATGCATCACCTCAAGCATTTATCCTTTGTGTTAGAAATGATGGACGTATACTCTTAGTTATCTTAAAATGTAAAATTACATTACTACTGACTGTAGTCAGCCTGTATAATTCTTAATACAGGATGAGTTTTCTTATAATTTGCTATCCTTTCTAGGCCACGCTTAAGTACAATGTTCTCCTACCTAAGAAGGCATCTGGATTTTCTCTTTCCTTGGAAATAGTAAAGAACTCTTCGGATATCTTCCAGACTATTTTTGACCTCACAGTGACCCTCAAGTAAGTGTCATATTTTGATAGTAACTCCCATGTGAGCAAGATGGTAAAATATTTAAAAAGTTTGAACAGTAGTGAAATCACAAAATATAAATCATGGTAATATGATGAGTTCTCATGTTGGTGGTGACAATTCTACAGCACAGTCATTTTTTAGCCCTCTGTCCGGACACCACAATTTAGTACATCTTCAGCTAAATCAGAGCTAAAATGAGGCAAGTATAACATGCAGTCTACGTGAGCATGATTTGAAAGCTTTGGCTGCACTGATATTCCAATGACACTTTCTATTCTGTTGTATGGAAGTACTCCTAGTTTTGAAAAACAGAGATTCTGTATTTCTTCTCAAGACAAGCACGCATGGTCATATAGTAGCAAGCCCACAAATGTTTATTTTATAACTGTAAAGAGTAAAATTTTAGATTTTTACTTTTCAGAATAGAAAAACAAAATGATCCTCTTGATTTCAAGCATGATTTATAGATGCTAAAGGATGTTAGCCTTAGCTAATATGTGGAAAGCATTGAGTAAAATTAGTTTGGCAGATATTCTTTAGAATTTCTAAATAAAAATCTCTTGAGCTCCAGGGCTAAGAACTCAATGACCTGGGGAACCCTTTTTTTTTTTTTTTTTTTTGAGACAGAGTCTCACTTTGTCACCCAGGCTGCAGTGCAGTGGCACAGTAGCACAATCTTAGCTCACTGCAACTTCCACCTCCTGGGTTCAAGGGATTCTTATGGCTCAGCCTCCCGAGTAGCTGGGATTACCAGTGTGCACCACCACATCTGGCTAATTTTTCTATTTTTAGCAGAGTCAGGGTTTTGCCATGTTGCCCAGGCTGGTCTTGAACTCTGACCCTCAAGTGATCCACCCATCTTGGCCTCCAAAAGTGCTGGGATTACAGGCGTAAGCAACCATGCCCTGATGAACTATGGAACTCTTAACTTCATACCCCAGTAGTCTTACCCAGAAGCAGGAAACTGAGCTAGAAGATCTCTTGGAGACATGTCTACTCCATAATTCTGCTAATATACCACCTTGTAAGCAAAGATGTCCTCTAAGTGTTATGCAAATCCAACATTAACCTAAGTATATGTAATATAGATTTAGAAGCTTTGTTTACCAGTTCAAACTTTGAGACTGCAGGTAAGCTTAAGACCAGGATTTGGGGGAGATTTCGTGTCAGATAATTCATTATTTGCTCCAATTTCTGTTGCTATGTATTATCTCTTTCATTATCATTCTGATCATGCCTATTCACAGATGCTTGAAAATGACTTTCTTCAAATTTTCTCTTCGGCTTTTACCTGTCCTCCAGACTTCTAGCCAATTAGTATTTATCCACCTGGCACTCTCATTAGATAAGTCACTTTTTAAAATTGATATCTAAACTAGTGTTTTCTTAAAATTTTCAGATATACTGGAATTCACAATAAATCCAGTATTGTGGTTACAGATGTAAAAATGCTATCAGGATTTACTCCAGCCATGTCATCCATTGAAAAGGTAAATAATAGAAGCCTAATCTGTCAGCACAAAGACAGCTACATAGAGTATAAAGATAAAGTAAATACTTGTTTAGCAGTTGTTTAGCAAAACAAAACTATAGAATTCTTCTTCAACATTCACCTTTATATTTTTACACTAACACTGGAGAGCTGGTGTATTTAATTTGTACAAATTAGCAGTCAGTATTTCCCACGGTTCATCATATATTTTCCTTTAGTTGCTACCTGTGCTTATCATGGCACCAAGGAATGTTCCATAAAACAGAACCTGACATGGAAAAGCATGGACATTCAGTTCTGCAGTGGTGCTGTCATTTGTTCTAATATCTATTCTCTATCCTTCCTTAACAATTTCTTCAAAGCTTGAAAACAAGGGCCAAGTGATGAAGACTGAAGTCAAGAATGGCCATGTTCTTTTCTATTTGGAAAATGTAAGTTTAGCAAAAATTTTTTTCTTTAAAGTTTTCTTTTTTCCTTCCAAGGACGATTGGATGCTTCCGTTTCTTATAGATATGATAGGATTTGTAAAAGGAAAACACTAAGCGACATTAAGGATGACCAGTATTCTATTCCACTGATCATCTTCTCCTTGCTAGTTCGAAGGCTGTTTCATATATGCCCTGGCTACGTGACTAGATAGCTTTCCTCTCCCTATCAAACACAGTCTGGTCACAGAGTAGATGTGTAATTATTTTATAATTTGACTAAACTCTTACAAAGTTTGCCATAATTTTTTAAATTACAATTGTGTATTGAAGGTGTGTGGTGTGACGTTTTGATATAGTGAGCTGATTGTTATCATCCAGCGTGACTATATGTGAAACAGCTGACTAAGACATCCCTCTCTTCACACGGTTACCTCTTCCTTTTTCATGATGAAGCACTTAAGATCTACTCCCTTAGGGAATATTATATATACAGTATAGCATTGTCAACTGTAGGCTACTGCTGTATCTGAGATTTGTAGAATGTATTCATTCTGCACAGCTGAAGGTTTCTATCGTTTGACCAGCATCTCCCCATTTTCCCATCCCTGATAACTACCATTCTACTCTCTGCATCTATGAATTCAACTTTAGATTTAACTTACAGGTGAGATCCTGCAGTGTTTTCTGTGTTTTCTGTGTGTGTCTGGTTTGTTTCACTCCAAATAGTTTACTCCAAGTTTGGCAATGTTGTTGCAAATGGCAGAAATTATTTTTATTTAAGGCTGAATAATTTGTATATATAAATATATCCCCCAGTTTCATTATCCATTCATCTGTTTCGAACATTTAGGTTGGTTCCTTATGTTGGCTATCATAATGAAAGAATGAGCATGGGACTGCAACTGTCTCTTCAAGATATTAATCTCATTTTCTTTGGATGCATACCCAGAAATGGGATTGCTGGATCATAGGATAGTTCTATTTTTATTTTTCTCAGGAAAAGCCAAACTGTGGCTTGCAGTTTAGAGACGTCTTTTCTATGTGTATCATTACCACTCACATAAATGCCTACATTCATTCATCTAAGACTTCCAGCTAAATTCCTCTCACCTCAATGTAAGCAAAGGAACTGAAAATTTTATATGATTTAAGGTTAACAACTCATTATTTTGCCAATATGTAAGTGAATCATACCCTAGATCTATTTAATTACGTAGATCATAAACTTCTGGGGATAATTTTCTCAGTGATTATCTTTTCTCAGACTTGCTACAATGTAATTATAATTTGTGTCATTACAGGTTTTTGGTACAGCCCACAGTTTCACTTTTTCTGTTGAGCAGAGCAACCTTGTGTTCAACATTCAGCCAGCCCCGGTCATGGTCTACGATTATTATGAAAAAGGTAGGCAAGCAACAGCCATGCCCTAAGGCTATTGAACATGGTATTTATATCTAACATTCCCGAGCTACTAAACTTCCCAAAATCAACCTCTGTCTTCACAGAGTAAGCAATAGATGGCATTACTTTGTATACTGGTTTCTTTCTTCCATGATGCATCTTCTGACTGAACCCATTTTCCAGTTACCAGAGTTTTTCAACACAGAATCCTTTCAATATAATCTGACAGGGCTCCACTTGAATTTGAAATACAAGACACATGAAGCTTCCAGGTCTTTTTGTTGTTGTCATTGTTGTTCATGCTAAGACTGACCGTTCCAAGCTACCTCTAAGGACTTTGACTTAAAAAGGGGAGTGGGGAGTATTCTGAAATGCTATTTTAAAAATTTGGTAGATTAATTTCTAAAACGATTACTAAGATGTCGTAGAGACCATACAACTATTCCCCGGAAGGTTGGTGCTATTTGTTTCTTGTTGAATGCTGTGTGAAGTTTGTCGAGTATTTGAATTCTGTCTCTGACATTTACTAATAGAATGTATTTCATCAAGTGTCTTAAATATTATTAGCATATTTCTGGATGTATAAAATAGGAAAGTAATTGTCTCTATTTCAAAATTATTGGAAAGATTAGATCGAATGTGCTTATATCATCTACTTAATAAAAATACATGTTCCCTTTATTTTTTCAGAAGAATATGCCCTTGCTTTTTACAACATCGACAGTAGTTCAGTTTCTGAGTGAGACAAAGCAATTACTGGAAGAGGTAAAGAAATGTTATTACATCATAAACCATTGAAAACACATCTAATAAGAAAATGAAAACCTAAATAAGATAGGACAATGGTTGAAGAAAGACAAGTGTCTGGTACTTCATTAGAGTTGTGTAACTGTGTACTACATGAGTATTCTGATAGTTGTTAAGATTGTATTAATTTCTTTAAAAATAGCTTTAAAGAATTCACAGCTATATATGTACCTTTTATAAATCTCTCATTTTTGTTTTGTAAGTTGACAGATCAGTAAAAATTTAGGCACATATATTTGTACATATGCTGTATATGTATGATACATGTCTATGTGCCTATATATGCATGTTTTTATATCTAAATATCCATTTAGATATAAATACAAACATGTGTTTATTGTTTAAACAATGTTTTAAATCCCAGGTGGAAAAGCATTTCTTTTAACAAACTGATTCTTCTGTATCAAACCTGGAAAAATTTCATGAACCATCTGGCATCCTGAACAGTCCACAATCTGCTCTGGCTTCTTATCAGATTTTATTTCCTTGTCATCTCATTAAATGTTGTCATTTTGCAACTGAGTCTATGACTTTTTTTCCTTCCAGTACTTTATTCACAGTTTTAATCCTAGAAAACGCAGGGGTTTTTTTGACAGCAACTCGAATAATTTGCTGTATTGCTGTCAACTCTAAATTCGAATGTTTAGACATTATGGAATACAGAGTTAGAATTCCTCCATATCCAGAGAGAGAGAGAAAGAAGTGGGGGAAGAGAAAGAAAGAAGCAGACTAAGTGAAAGTTGAAACGGGCTCCATGTTAATTCAAGGAAACAAAAACAAACACACACAACATAGACTCGAATGTATCTTCCGAGATCAAATCTGCCTCCTTAGGCCTAATCCAACGTTGCCCGTTCCGTTGGAGCAAAGGCATTGCTTGTGCAGAGGATAGGCCAGCACATCCTTTGCTTGCATCCTTACTCACTAGGTAAACACACCCCTCACACTCCAGATGTGGCCAGTCGTTACCCCCAAGGGATACTGGTCAGGCACTCAGGGATGGTTGAGAAACGACTGTGGCCTGCCTCAGACCACCCCACGCAGTGGGCTCAGCAAATTTCCAAAGTGCAGAGACAGCATTGCAAAGGCAGAGCGTGCCAGGATGGGCCCTGGACATACACTGTACAATCCATCTCAGATGAGTTGATGGGAGCAAGTTGGCGTGTCCCAGCCCACAGACACTGCTCCTCACACCCCACCTGGGTGGGAGCCATCACAGACTAGCATCCCCTTGTCCTGCCCCGATCCTGGTTTTCTGGCTGGCTTTGCAGATCAAAGGACATCCTTCCACTTGGACCAATCCTGGGGGAGACATCTCTCAGAAGATAGTCCTAGAACGTGGAATGTGACCTTGTTTGGAAATAGGGTCTTTGCAGATGTTACCAAAGTAAGAGGAGCTCACAGTGGATTAGAGTGGGCCCCACCTAGTCTAATGATTCCTGTCCTTAAGAGAACACACACACACACACACACACACATATACACACAAAAGAATGTGCCTGTGAAAATGGAGGCAGAGCTTAGAGTGAAGTGTCTACAAGTCACGGGACGTGGACAGTTGCCAGAAACCAGCAGAAGCCAAGAGTGAGTCATGGAGTTGATCTGCCTCACAGCCTCTAGCAGGAACTCGTCCTGCCCCTACCTTGACTTTGCATTTCTAGCCTTCGCAACTGGTGGAATAAAATCCCATTGTTTAAAACCAGCCAGGTGTGGCATGTTTTTATGTGAGCCCTGGGAACCCAATACACTGACTTTCAAGGGCCTCATCCCACTGACTTCAAAGCAGGCCTGGATCTGTGTGTTGTCTCACTTCTGGGAGCTCCCATGAGCCTGCAGAGAGATTGCAGGGTCTTCCTGAACGTTGCCTGAAGAGGAAAGAGGGACTCAAGAGGATTACCCCGATATCACCCCTCCCTCCTCCTAAATTCTGCTGGGCTCTCCCACTACCCCAGGAAGACATCCCTGCTAACTTCTGCCCTGCAAGTTGACCCTGACATTTTCAAGTGTCACCTGCCCCTGTGAACTTGAATGGATTGCTCTGTTCTTATTAACAGGACAAAAGGACATGCTACAGACTGAGTGAAAACACATAACACAAACCATATAGTGGACAAAGGACTTGTATGTAAAATCTACGAAGAACCTTCAAAATTCAACACTTTAAAAAAAAAAAACAATCCTATGAAAAAGTGGGCAAAAGACATGAAAAGACATTCTGTCAAAGAAAGAACACGAACAGCAAAGAAGCACAAGTGAATATGATCAGCATCAGTAACCATTAGAGAAATGCACATTAAAACAATGAAGTATCACTATATCTGTTAGAATGGATAAGGTCAATGATGACAGCAAATGCCGGCAAGATTGCTTAGAAACCAGACAACCCACACATCACTGGCGTCACTTGAACAAGATACAGCCACTCTGGAAAAGAGTTTGGCAGTTTCTTATAAAACCAAAGGTACACGTCCTATGTGACTCAGCAATTTCACTCTTCAGGATTTAACCAGAAGAATGAAAACAGGTTCACAAAAACCTGTACGTGAATGTTCTTAAAAGTTTTATTCAAAACAGCCTCAAACTGGAAACCACCCAAATATCTTTCAGTGGTGAAAGACTCAACAAATTCTACCATATCCATATAAGAGAATACTACCCAGGAATAAAAAGCAAGAAATTATTGATACAAGCAACAACTTGGAAGTTTTGTTAGAGCATGAAAGTTGGTGAAAAAAGCCAAACTTTTGTTGAAGATTGGGTTTTGGCTTTTGTTGAAGAAAGAAAAAAACTTTCTCTTGTGAAAAAAGCCAATCTTCTAAAAGGTTTTACACTGATAAGATTCCATGTATAAAACATTCTCCTGTTGTGGGATAATTTAGGAATCAGAGAGACTGAGGCGTTGAGGAGGATATTTATTATTTAGGTTCACCAGTCCAGCCAGATTAACATCCAAAGGACTGAGCCCCGAACGAAGAGTCAAGTTACCTTTTAAGCATTTTGTGGGGCGGGGGGAGATCTGTGCAGGGGGAAGCATATTACAGAATCAAGAAACAAAGACAATTATTCAATTGAGACTTGCATTACATTATTTCTTACTTTTCAAGGAAAAACATGTTTTGCAACTTGAGTTTATCTGTCTAGTGACCTTGCAGCTGTACAGCTAGAGAAACAGGGTCTTCACAACGCCTGGGAAAGGGAGAGATAAGGCTCACTAGTCACAGAAAAAACAGGCAGTTAATTGTTAAAGACTCCAGTTCTTTCTCTTCCTCAGGGGGAATTGGGTTTTCTTACATACAGCTGAGTTTTCGCTTACATATTCTTTAATTTCTTTTCATTCTTGTTCCACTCCAACTAACAAAACTATAGAGATGGAGAACAGATTGGTGGTTGCCAGGAGACAGGGACAAGGTATGAGGATATGACTAAAAAGAGGTAGCACAAGTGAGTTCCTCTCAGTGATGAAACAGTTCTTTGGCAAGGACACTGGTGCAAGTGTTTACAAGATACTACACATGAGACCATCTTGCGTAGAACACACACACACAAAGGAGTACATGCAAACACTGCGAAAACTGCATAAGGTCTGTAGCCTAACAATAGCCAACCAATGCCCATGCCCTGGTTTTGATGGTGTCCTGCTGTTCTGTAAGATAGCACTGGTAGGGGAAGCCAGGAAAAGCATCCAAGGGACTCTCTACTACTTTTGTGACTCCCTGTGAATCTAGTCATTTCAAAATAAAAATTTTAAAGAAAAGCAACCAAGTGATTTTTATATAATAAATGCCAGGTTAATCCTCATATATGAATGCACATATGGGTGCACAGATAAAACTGAAAGGACGTATATCAAAATGGTAACATATCTGTTAGTTTTTGAAGGGAAGGCGAGGGTTACAAAAAGACAGAGGGAGAGTTGGTAGCTCGACAGCAACACAAGTTCATTGCCAGAGCAAGCTACTGAGGTGGGGGACCAGCTTAACACCGGAGCCCACCACTGCTTACAGGCTGGGGTACTTATAGGTATGGGCGGGAAGGGTCTGGGTGGCATGGCTTGCTGCTTGACAAAGATGTTCCTTCAGTTGGGCCTTTTCCTGGCAGGGTATGATAGGGACGTTCCTGTGCCTTGTGGTCAGGTGGTGGGGCAGGACGTTTCTCACGGTGGAACCCCCATGGGGAATGTTTTGCTCTGACCAAGGTCTGTGAAATAGCAGGGGGCTTACAAAACAGTGCAGTCTGGACTAACAGTATCCAGATCGTAGATTTAAAAATCATTTTTATTTTCTTGGTAGGTCTTTTCAATATGTTCTGTATGGTCTAAAATAAACATGTTACTTTGTCACATTTAAAATGTTATTTTTAAAGTATGTTCTCTTCAAAATGCATTTAAACTATTTGACAAATTAGAAAATTGTTTATTAAAAGCAAGGAGGCTTATAGACAAATCCTAATTCAGGTGAATTCAACAAATATTCTTTAAGCACTTTCTATATACAGGCAATTATAAGAGTATTTAAGATAAATCTAGTATAAATCTAGAGTGAAAACATGACAAATACTTATAACATAGGATAACATATGTGATATTATAGGCATACACAATGTTCTGAAATAATACGGAGGAGGGCATAATTAACTATGCACCAGCTAGAGGAAGGTTCAAAGAGGGCTTTTCAGGATGTAAGGGAATAGAGGGAATGGCATGGGAGGAGAAAGAACTATTCAAAAAAAGACAATAGGGCCAGGAGTGGTGGCTCGTGCCTTTAGGCTCACCACTTTGGGAGGTCGAGCTGAGGGGATCACTTGAGCCCAGGAGTTCGAGACCAGCCTGGGCAACATAGTGAGACCCCTGTTTCTATTTAAGTAAGTTTAATATTTTAAAAAGACAACAGAGTACACAAGACGCATTGAGGCAGAGAAAACACAACATGCAGAAGAAAGCAGAGTCAAATGGGTAACGTTATTTCTAACATCAAATGATGAAAGCAGGATGAGGTTATTAAAATTGACATCAGAAAGTGCATTTAGTGACTTCAGTCTTTAGTGGAAGTTCCTAGTGTATGAAATGAACAGATGAGGAAAGGCCTTAATTGCTGTGCTGTGGGAATAGGGAACCGTTAAAGGGCTAAGTGTGAGAGGATCTGTAATTCAGAGAAATTGCTCTGTTGGTAACGTGGAGGGTGAATTTGAGGGGAATGAGACTGGAGGCAGGAGCAAGGCAGGAATGAAACGGCCTCATTGTCTGGAGTAGCACCTGAAGTTTGTGATCTCACAGCCATGGAGAACAAGGATGTGGACTCACAAAGAGTGAGGTTAAGAGCAGAAGTTTAATAGGCGAAAGAAAAAGGAAAGCTGTCTGCTCCAGCGAGGGGTCACAGAGAAATGGATCGCCGGTCCATGGCAAAACGCAGAGGGTTTTATAGATGAGCTGGTGAGGAGGTGGTGTCTGATTTACATAGGACATGAAAGACTAGTCAGACCAGGCGTGCCATTTGCATAGGGCGTGAAAAACTTCTTAGAG